CATCATTCTCCCTTTCAACCACTGCTGCTTCCTGTTACTCACAAGATAAAAATAGCACAGGACTCATGGCCAGTCAGGAGAGGCGCAGAGGAAAAAGATGATGGACAGCGTAGCCCACTAGACTGAAGCTCCTGGGAAGGAAGACACCCCAAAACCTCTGAGGCACACAAAGCAGGTGCTAACAGCTCAGCAACAGTCTAGCACAGGAGGTTAAAGGACAGTGATTAGAAAGCCCCAGGCTTTCCCAGCCATCCATGCGGGAAACTCAAGGGTAAGAGGGGCGCCAAGCAAGTACCCGATCATGCCACCTCTCCCGCAACACCTAAGGCACACATACATTTCCCACCAATTCCACCATTCCTGGCAGGACACAAGCTCCAATGGCCCAGAGGATAAAGCACTGTGGCCAGGAAATATCTCAAGAATATTCTCACAGGAATTCAGGCCAGAGTGGCCTGACCAGATTCCACCTGTAGCCAAGAACGAACAAGTGTGTCTAGGAAAGGTCAGGTCTGGCCAGTCCAATGAGAGTGAAATCCCACTCCCTGGGCAAGCTGTGCAATCTGCCTCACAATATCACTCCACCCATCACAGGCACACTCACTTATTTCTTACTCATAGGCAGCTGAGCCCAGGTGAGTGCCCTCTGGCAAAGAACTCGGGGGATCTCAAGGACCTGGCTAGGAAATGAAGGCTCATCTGTCTGCCATCCCACAACCTAAGTAGTAGCTATAAAGACCCACTCCCAAGTCCAGAAGCTTCTCTCATGCTATTCTGACCAAAAATTCCTTTGCTCAGTCCAGGTAAACCCTACCCATCTTCAATGGCTGACTCCAAACACCAGCTCTTCTGGAAATACTCAGCCAGCCCTCATTCCCCACTGCACACCTTCGAAGGATTACCACACCTCTTCTATGCTTCTCCCAAAGGAGAAGGAACTATGCCTTACTCATCGCCCTTACGTGCCAGAACCAAGGGCTGGCATCTCTTAGGTGCTTTATCCACACTTATGAATCTGTAGGTCGACTCATCTACTCCTGATACAACAGCAAGGAAATGATCGTGTTGTTAGAAATCACGCTGGGAGTGATTTCCTTACTAAAGGGAATTCCATTCTCAATCCAGCCACCTTAGAACCTTGGAGGGAAAACTGAACAAGGCAGACACAAAATGAGGAAGACACAAGGGAAGCTAGGGCAATGTGACCATGGACTTCCCTTGGTGTGGTGAAGGTAAGTGTCTGCCATGCAGTTTCCCTTGGCATGAAAGTTTCAAGGGTATGTGTGTGTGTAAATCTGAAAGGCAGAAAAGACACTAACGTTTGTAAAGGTTCCCCACATGAATTAGAACCTTCAAGGAAAAAGTGTTTCCAAGGATTCCTGAAACAACCAGCTTTGGGTCCCAGGGACTTACAGTAGCTGAAGACCCAACCAAGCCAGAAAATGCTTGGCAACATTAGAAACACTGGACAGACTATGCTATCTGCACACTCCAGAAGTCTGCCTGGAGGAAGACATCTAAAAATGCAGAGAGAATCAGGGCTGGAACCACAACTCGATGACCACCCAACAGGGCACATACTGGCAAGGACTCATTAACAGAAGACCTGACATTTTTCACTTACTGAGGACCAAGAGAAAGCATTCCCACAAAACACATGTTTAAGCCTAAAAAATTTTGCTCCAAGCTAAACTACAAATTCCATAAAGAATCTATGGTTGTATACATAAACAAAACTAGTTAAAAGTATCTAGTTTCGATTCTTTTACACATCGTAAGTAAAAAGAATTCTGATGCTATGGGCTTTAAGCATAAAGCATTTATGCTGTATACAAAGTACTAGGACTTTAAAAAAATCAGATATGGGTGCCAGGGGAACAGAGATTCTCCCACCCACTATCTACCCCACTGGTTCACTTCCCAAAGGGCTGTGAAACCCCATCTGGGTGAAGCCAAAGCCAGAATCCAGGAATTCCACCCTGGTCCCTAATATGGGTGGCAAGGGTCCAAGTTCTGGGACCATCTTATGCTGCCTTGCAGGAAACTGGATCAGAAGTAGTCAGAACTCAAAGCAGCACTTAAAACAACTCCAGGCACTCTACAGTTTAACCCACTTTGCCCCAGCATCACGGTTAGCTGTGTGGCGGATACTTGCACTAGCAACTCAACTTGCCATGTTTGTTTCCATCAACATTATTTTTACTTCAAAGAATAACTGACCAACTCTGGTTCTTTAAACTCCTCTGTCTGACCTACATTTTCACAAAATCCAAGTGGGTGCTTTACACTTAAGAAAAACTAACAGCATCTGTTGCCAAATGTAGACATGTAACTTTCAAACAAAAATCTGAGTCTTGGGAAACTATCTCCCAAGATACAGAAAATTTAAAAGATTTATTTTTACTTACTTATTTTTGGAAAGGCATATCAGATTTACAAAAAGAAAAGACAGAGAGAAGTATTTTCTATCCACTGGTTCACTCCCCAAATGGCTGCAATGAACAGAACTGAGTTGATACACAGCCAGGCCCAGGAGCTTCTTCCAGGTTTCCCACGTGGGTGCAGGGTCCTAGGGCTTAAATCCATCCTCCACTGAGTTCCCAGGCCACAGCAGCAAGATGGATGGGAAGTGGAACAGCCAGGACACATACCTAATCCATATGGGATCCCAGTGCTTCCAAGGTGAGAACTGAGCCAATGGAGCCATTGTACCAGGCTCAAGATACAGAATATTTAAAAAAGAGATTTGGGGGTTTTGTTTTATTTTGGCACATAGCACGAGGTTTTGGAAATATTAAGTTCCACAAATTCACAGAATTTTATCAGCTTTGCGTTTTAACTTTCTGGCTGTAATGAATTGGTTCAATTTAATATTTATTTTTATTGGAAAGGCAGATTTATATAGAGGAGACAAAGAGAGCAAGGTCTTCCATTTGCTGGTTCACTCCCCAAATGGCACAATGGCCTGAGCTGAGCCAATCCAAAGCCATGAACCAGGAGCTCTCTCTGGGTCTCCTACATGGGTGCACAGTCCCCAGACTTTGGCCCATCCCTTGCTACTTTCCCAGCCCATAAACAGGGAGTCAGATGGTAAGTCGCACAACCAGGACATGAACCGGAACCCATATGGGATGCTAGTGCTTACAGACGGGAGATCAGCCAATTGAGCCATTACACTGGCCCAATCAATTGTTATAAAGATCCACAGAAACAAAGTAGCTTAAACTATGTCAACATTAACTGCCTACAGCAGTTGCCAAATTCTTATGACACTGTATCAGTGACTGTTCCATGGAACACATTAAGCATCCAAATAAGAGAACTTGCTAGTATTTCACATCAACTGAATTTTAAAACTCTATACTATGTGAATGTACTGTCCAAAAGAAAAAGGGATAACTCATGTGGAAACTACAATTCCAATTCTCTTTTGCTAGCTTTTCAAATAATACTGTCAACATGCTAGTCAAAATACTAAGAAAATGGAAGTATTATTATGTAAATGCAAAAACAACAAAATACATTTTTTTCCTCCAAAATCGTTCAAAGCTGAATGCCTGCTAAAACAGCATCTCCTGGGCTCCCCAACTTGCAGAGAAGCACTTGAGGAGGTAAAAATTGCTACACAGTGAGGAGTTTAGGACAAGGCTTCCAAAAATGGCAAAAGATATTTTCAATGGCTCTGTTGAATACCCTGGGTAATATCATGTCCACCAGATTTATAACAAAGGCTGGGGGGGGGGGGGAACTGTGTTGTGTTTTTTGTGGGATTTTTGCCTAAAGAAACAACAGCACTAGAAGAAAATACTGTTCAAACATTTATGCTTCTTCAAATTCTCCTCTGAAACTTTTATCCTGGGATCTATCAAAGTTGTGATCCTTCGTGTTCAAGCACCATTATCAAAGACAGACATTCTATCTGAATGCAAAGATTTAATTTAAAGAAAAATCAGCTGGTTTTTAGAGGCCAGTCTGGGCGAGGCTGCTCTCTTCCCGGTGCTCCTGCCAGGAGCCACAGGGAGTGGTGCCACGTAAGGCACTTCCCCCAGACCGTTGCATCTCACACCCCTGTAGGTGTTCTCTTCCTGCAAGGGGCACTACATCGAGCTCCTTTGAGCTCAAAATACTACCAGTGTGCAACACGAAATGATAGCAGAAGTACGCGTTTAAAAAAGAACTTAAGTGCATAAGAACCAGGAAATCGTTCTGGAAATAGGTCGTATTTTAAGATCCATCTAAAGTTCCTGTTTCTCATTCCTTAGAAAAATACCACGTGGTCTCTAGTTCAACTAAGGTGGGAGGGAGGGCAGGTGTGAGAAATTAGAATATTTAAGAAGCCAACTCAAGTATGTATCACACAAATAGTATATTGTGGACCAAAAGCCAAAAAACAATAAACAGATTCAAACGTTAACTTCCCAAGGCCTTACATAATGGTTCTCTTAATCGCTACTTTACATTGGGAATCATCCTAACAGGCAGTAGCAAAAACAGCGGGACAGTGCTACAACTAAGACAGCACCTAGAATTTCCCTGGCTATGGCACAAATGCTTACTGACCCTATTCCCAAAAAGTGGTCCAGCACAAACACGTTCTCCAACTCAATCACATTCCCGGTTGGCTTCTCCATCCCAAGTTTAACCCATTATGACATCTGGGGGTCATAACAGCTCAACTGTAATTCTGTACGCTCACAGCTTTGATACGAAATAGACAAGGCAATCCACAAACACTCAAGACAGAACCAGGGAGTCCCAGGCCGTTACAGTTTCTGGTGCCCTGTCCACTCAAGGCGACCCCTCAAGTTAGTTACACGTACAAGAACCAAACTCGCACACCACTGCCCAACCCCCAGAGTCTCACACCCCCCGCAAAGCGAACACGAATCCTCCGGCCCCTGTGGACAGCGCCCCCAAACCCCAGGAGCCGCATCCCTCCTGAGCTGCATTTCCTTCGGGGAGACCGCGAGAGGTGAGGCTGCATGCGCCTTGGTGCTTACCGATGCCCGGAGCCACATAGATGAAGTAGAGACAAGACGAGGAGAGGGAGAAGAAGAAGATGAAGGCGAGGAGGGAGCGATTGGAGACCCGCATCACCCGCTTGAGTACGGACATCTTCCTTTTCCCAGCCAGCAGCTCCCGCTGCGCTCACCGGCCGGACTCGGGTCCAATGTCCAGGCCCTAAAGTTCCATGAACGTGCTCGGAACCCCGAGACCGTGGCGGGGTCTGCGCCAATAAGGGAGGCTCCAGGGAGGGGGCCCGAGGACGGAAGGGGTTTTTAAGGGCGGCAGAATGAATGGAAGCAGGAGGGTCGGGGTTGGAAAGGCGCGGAAGGACAAGGGACAGGGGAGGGCGGGAGGAGAGGGGTGGAGGTGCCGGGGGCCTGGGAAGCGGAGGTCCTCAGGAGGCCGCGGACGCGCGTGTGCTCCGCCAGGCAGCGGCGGGAGGAGGGGCTGCAGGTGGGGAACGGCTCCGGCTGCGCGCCGCGGCGCCCCTGCGGAGAGGGGCGGCCGACTGCAGCACGCCCGGCTCCCGGCTCCCGGCGCGATCCAGCTCGCCCAGCCCCGGAGCTGAGGGTCCGGGCTCGCCCCGCAGGCCCGCGCCTCCTTCTCCTCTTCCTCCTCCTCCTCTGGGCCGCGGCTCCTCGTGCCTGCGCGGGGCTAGCGTGGGTGCCGGGGCCGCAGCCGGTGCAGTGGACGCGCGGGGGCCCGCGGGGGCCCTGGAGGCCAAGGAGCTGGGCGCTCGTCGGCGCGCAACCTCCTCCTCATGCCGCGCGGGGCCCCGGCGCCCTGCGGCCACCGCGGGAGCCAAACGCAGGCCAGGGCGGCGTCCCGGCCAGCGGAGAGCGCGCTCCGGCTCCGGCTCCTGCCGTCTCCAGCTGCCCGGCCGGCCGCAAGGGCGGCAACGGCAGCTGCATTACCGCCGCCGCCGGCCGGGGGTGAGGCGCCCCCGCCGGCGCCGCCCCCGCACGGCCCCCCGACAGCCGGCCCGGAGCGCTGCCCGCAGAGCCGAGGGAACCGGGCCGCCGTCCGAGCCGCGACTGACTTGCACAACGGGTGACCGATCTCCAAAGAGCGGGCGCGCCCGGAGACCCCCGCGGGCTCCGCTGGCCGATCGGAACTCGGCAGGCGGAGCTGCGCCGGGACCCGAGGAAACCTTGGGGCCCCCACCCTCCCCGGGCCCCAAACACCGCGCGTCCTGATTGGCCCGCGCCGCCCCACGCCGAGCCAACCCCCTCCCCACCGCCGGCTCCTGCGTCACCGCCGCCCCCGCCCGCCAGGGACCCCGCGCCGGCCGCGCCGCCGAGGTGGAGGCAGGCGAGGGAGGCCAGCGCCGCGCCCCGGGGGGCGGGGAACTGGGGGTCTCGAGGAAAGGGCTTAGATGCCGTGATTTCCGCCCAAAAATGCTCTCGCGGAGAACAAGGTGTTATTTCCGACCCGGCTCCGCCCGCCACCCCTTCGTTTAAAAAACGAGCAGCCCTGCTGTGGGCCTGCGCACATCCGTCTGCTAGGACCTGCTTGGCATCTCAAGGTGGACGCTGGCGTGCCCTTCGGTGGCCCTGGTTTCAGCCGAGACAGGGACGGCCCCTGTGCAGCGCCGCCGAGCTTCCCCAACCATCGGCCTTCTGGGCCAGGGTCTACCCTTTTCTCTGAGAGCTAAATTGGTCCCGGTCCACCCTTACGCCGCGTTTTCCCAACGTGTGCGTGTACGCGCAGGTGTTTCTCCTTGGGATAATCCCGCAGGAATTGGCTGGTTGCCTCCTGCTGCGGCCGGTTTCCCGATTCAGCTCTCAATTTTGGAGCAGCAGGGGTAGCACCTTCTGGCCTTTGGTCTCCAAGGTCGTGCTATATGCACTGTGGAGGCTGACGCATCCAAGTCTGTCAGTCCAGGCCTTGTATTGTCACTGCCTTAACCGAGCCACCGCACCGAGCCTGGTGCCTTAATCCCAAACCCATGGATGTGATACCCCTGAGTAGTCTGAGATTAAATGAGCTAACTAAAAGGCTAATCAGTAAATCCATCCATGGGTTCACTGGAATGAAGTCGCCACATTCTGAATGATCGTTTAAAATTGTGTGTGTGTTAAAGTGTTTACAAGTTACTCAGTTTTTCTGTTAGGGTACTTCGTGTGAAAGGCAGAGACATTATTCTATCATTTTAGAGGCATCAGGGCATTTGAAAATGCAAAGCAGATCAACATGTTAAGTCAAAGATTCCCTCTATGAAAAAGATGTTGCTCAGTGCCAGCAAAAGATAAGGAAGTAAAAACAGGATTTCTGTCTCTCAGTCCATTTGTTGTTCACCTTTATTTGCACCTGCTCCATTTGTGGTTTCAAAGGTTAATTCCCCTGGTCACTAGTCTGGAGAGAACTCCACAGCTTCACTGGGGTAGTGATGGACAGTGCTTCTCAGGCAAGGCTGGTTGTTAGATAGGAAAATTGACCCTAAAACTGAGGGAAGTGTTAGCCTCACAGAAACTGAGGGTGAATTTTTTAAAAGTCTGAAGTCAACATACCATAGTGCCCAGCTGGCATAGGTGATTACTATTCGTCTATCCTAATCTTCACATCGATAAATTTTGGTTTGACTTGTTTAGCAGGAGCACCATGGAGCTTGTTAAAGGTGATTAGTTCTCTCTGCAGTAAGGTAGAACTTCATCAGTGTTGTCAGGATTTAATTAAACTAATCCAGGCCTCCAAAAACAAGGAAGAGTCTGGCATATTAAGCACTCTTTGAGCATTCATTTTATTTCTCTAAATCTCTCTGTTCAACCCTGTCACTGCTAACAGTGACAAGTATTGCTTGCTCTTGCTGTTTAAACATCAATTTCCCTAGTGAGTCACCTATTCATTCTTTGTCTCTAATAATCTGAGGGATGCCTTGAGGCCTTAGCTCACTTTTGAGACAGATTTAGTACTCAGAATTCAAGAAATGCTAACAGAGCATCTTCAAGCTATATCCCAGAGAGCCAGATTAGCCCTGTAGCAAAGTAGTGACCTTGCAGAAATTTAGTAAGTTTAATTTTTATGGCACTATATTAGTCTATACTTATTACTATAATGAAATACCAAAATTGGGGAATGTTATTATAGAAAGAAGTTTGCTTTGCCTGGGGGTTCTGGATCAAGGGTAAGAGCCTACAGTAGTCATGGCTCTCTTGCTGGCAGAGCCCCTTGGTGGCACCGAGACTGGCAAGAGACAGGCAGTATACCACGTGTGCAGCTTCTCTGGTCCCTCAACTAACCAAGTCACCAGGTTTCAGCCATAAGCACTGCACCGTGATGACCAATCTAATCCTAATCACCTCCCAAAGGCCCCACCTTTAAGAGTCTGCCCTGTTAATACCTCACCAGGGGGATTAAATTTTAATACAAAAACCTTGGTAGAGGTAGGAGAGTCAACCTCAGACCCCTTATAATAAGAACTAAAGCACAATGAGACAGACGTGAATTTTATGTAATGACTTTGTCCTATTACTGTCAGGCATTCCTTTAACTATTTTGTCTGCTAGAAACCCTGTATCCTTACGTACTGAGTAAATTACAAGATAGCTAATGGTTTTCTGTTTGTATTAAAAGATGTAAAGAAAATAGAGCTTGCCACTGAAAAAGATACTTGTTTAATGAAATCTATGAATGTTGGCTCTGTGCTGTCTGAGAATAATAATATCCACTGTTTTGTATTTGTTCACAACTTGGTGAATTAAAAGTAAAAAATTTTGCTTTTGAATTAGGATGGAGGAAAGAAACGATAGAAGTAGCATGCAGGCACTTAGCCTATTGGCTGTTATTACCCACATCAGGATACCTGAGCTCAATTCCAAGCTCTGGCTGCTGACCCCAGCTTCCCGCTAATCAGACCCTCCACGGCCATTGCTGACAGCTGATAGCTCAACTGACTTGCTTAATGCCACTCACATGGGAGTCTTGGATTACTTTCTCAGCTCCCAGCTTTGACCCCAGTCCTTGTGGACATTTGAGAAGTGAATCAGCAGATGAGGGACCTCTCCCCCTCCCTCCCTCTCCTTCTCTCTCCCTTCCCCCCACCCCTCTTACCCCTCTTTCTCCAGCTCTCTTCCTGTCTTCCTCTCCCCCTTTCTCCCCTCTCTCTTTCTTTCCCTCCCCTCTCTTTATTTCCCTCCCCTCTTTCTCTCGCTCTTCCTTTCTCTTCTTCTCCCTCCCCCATTTTCCCTCTTCCAATCTCTTTCTCCATCTGTTTCTCTCCCTCTTCCTCTCAGTGTTTTTTTTTTCTGAAGAAAACAACACATAGAATAGAATCTCACTTATATGCTTGCTAAAGGTTCTGACCTCCATGTTACAACTATTGATGAAATATAGTGACTTTATAAATACATGATCTCAGGGCTGACACTGTGGCATATAAGTACGCCTGCCACCTGTGTAGTGCCAGCATTCCATTTGAACACTAGCTTGATTTCTGGCTGCTCCACTTCTGATCCAGTTCCCTGATAATGTGCCTGGGAAAGCAGCAGAGGACGGCCCAACTGCTTAGGTACCTGTACCATATAGGAGAACCAGATAAGACTCCTGGCTCCTGGCTTCAGAACAGCCTAGCTCTGGCTATTGTGATCATTTGTTAAGTAATATCTCTCTCTTTGTCACTCCCTCTCTCTGTATCTCTTTCAAATCAATTAATAAGTCTTTTTTTTTAAATAAATAAGTAATGTTCTCTGAAGCTGAGAGTCAACTGAAGAAATTTAAGTTGATAAAATGTGCTTAGAAAATTGAATTTTTTCACTTACATAATTGAATGTAGATTACATAAAAATTAGTGGTATGATCCATTAAGTAACATATTTATTTGAAATTGTGTGATACAAAAAAAATTCTCTTAAATAAAAATTTCCATTATAAATATGATAAGATTTCTGCTGAGGGGAAAAAATGGTCCCTGTATGCCATCTAAAGAAACTTTTAAATAAATAATTTTGTATAATTGTGAATAAACATTATTTTAATATACATAATACAAAACTTATGCTTTGTAATTAAAATTTAAACAGAAAACACTTTAGTGATTGTAATATTTCCGTAATCATTTGGCCCAAATTTCCCACAAAACTCAAAAGCTTTAACTTTTTCTTCTTAAGATCAATCTTTTACATCATAAGAATGCCCTGTAAGGTTTTCAAGAGGCCGGTGATGGATTCAGAAGGTACATCACAGCTTACACTACCCACATGTCACAGCACAGTACCTATTTCAGGCTCCTGTCCCTCCATTTCTGATCCAGCTTCCCACTAATGTGC